GGGGTTTTTTTTTTTTTTTTTTTTTGAGAGGTTTTTGCTATAGGGCGTGTGCACTCGCCAGAAAGACAGAGAGACAAACCGAGAAATCACCCCCCAGGGGGGATGGCCACGCCACAATCCCTTCTCCTCCATTCTCCTCTCGGGATCTTGGGCACGCCAGCACACACGCCCGACATGAGTTTAAGCCACCGGGTCCAGGACTCGAACCACAGTCAACTACATGGGAATCCAGTGACATAGTCATTACGCTAACTGATGGTCCCATAGAGAGCTTCTTTCGCAATAGGAGGATATTAAATTTTAAAGGTAGAATGTTAGATTTTAGAAGAGCTGTTTTTTGGCTTATTAAAATAACGTTAGTTTAGGTGTTCTTCACTGTAAAAGAAAACTTAGCAATATTTTGAAATAGATTTAAACTGATACACAACCAACAACTTAGAGAATTTGGGGGGTGGGGTGGGGAGTAGCAGCAGCTAGGGCCAGGAGAAGGCAAGAAGGTTAAGGTAGCTGGACTCCACATGGTTGACTACATGGTTCAAATCCTGGATCCAGCAGTGTGAAAAACACACCAGATGTATGTACATGTGTTCTGGCCCCAAAACTCCAAGAGAAGAATGGAGAAGGAATTGCAGCATGCCTACCTCTGAGGGTGCTTTCTCACTTTCCCCTCTCTCTCTCTGGCAAGCACATGTACCCTATAGCAAATTAAAACAACCAACAAAAACAAAAACCTCTCTCATGGGCCAGCAAGTGGTATAATGATTAAGGCACTAGACTCCCACGTGGCCAAACACTGTTCAAGTCCTGGATCTGGCAGCTTGCTTTCTCACTTTGTATCTCTCTCTGTATCTCTCTAGTGAGTACCTATGCCCTATAGCAAATTTAAAATAATAAATAACTGGGCCAGCAGGTGGAATGGTGGTAAAAGACATTGGATTCCCACATGGCCAACTGCGGTTTGAGTCCTGAACCTGGCGGGTTGCTTTCTCGCTTTCCCTTTCTCTCTCTCTCTGGTCAAATTAAAGAAATAATAACAAATGTAATTAAATAAACAAACGAATTTTAAGAAATAATAAAGTTAAATAAATAATTTTTTAAACAATAAAAATCAAACACTTCCCTTGTAAGGGAAAGGAAATTTGAAGAACTCATTATTTCATGACCCTTTTGCACCTATTTACATCCTGATGTGCAGTTCTTAAGGCATATCAAAAAGTTTCAAGTTGTTGATTCTAAGAGAATTAGTGTATTTATATGAAGTGGTAACAGCAGCCCTAGCTAGAAAGAAAAATAGCAGAAAGGCTTGTTTTGTTTTTCTTGTTTTCCTTTTTTAAAGAATTATTCTTATTTAACTTTATTTATTATTTTTATTTAAATTTGATCAGAGATAGAGTGAGAGAGAAAGGGAACATGAGAGAGCAAGTCGCCATGTCTGGGACTGGAACCACAGTCGGCCATGTGAGAGTCCAGTGCCCTTAACCACTGTGCCACCGGCCGGCCCCTCACTTTTCTCTCTCTCTCTTTTTAATTTTTATTTTATGTTTTTTTAAATAATGATTTTACTTAACTTTATTTATTTTCATTTGACCAGAGAGGGACAGAGAGTGAGAAGGAAAGCAAGAAAGCAAGCTGCCAGGACCAGCACTTAGTGTAATGGCTATGACGCTGGACGGGGGAGAAGGGATTGTGGCGCTCCCTGGGGTGTGATTTCTCGCTTTCTGTCTCTCTGTCTCTGTCTGTCTGGTGAGTGCATGTGTCCTATAGCAAAAACCTCTTCAAAAAAAGAAAAAAGAAAGAAAGAAAGCTGCCAAGTCCAGGACTAGGATGGCCATGTGGGAATCCGGCGCCCTTAACCACTATGCCACCAGCCAGCCCCTTACTTTTATCTTAAAAGCGAAGTGGAAAGTTATCTCCCATTGATTAAAGAAAATTTATATTATGTAGGGGCCGGCAGGTGGCATGGAGGTTAAAGGTGCTGGACTCCCACATGGCCAACTGTGGTTCAAGTCCCAGACCCGGTGGCTTGCTTTCCCACTTTCCCTCTCTCTGTCTTTGGTGATAGTGCATGTGTCCCTCTCTGATCAAACTAAATAAATAAAGTTAAATAAGATAATTCTTTTTAAAAAAAAAATTAGATTACATAGTCACTGCTCTTTAAGACTTTAATGAACAAAATCAGTAGAAGCATTTTCATTTCAAGGTTCCCATAACTTCCTTTCCAACCCTGGGCCAGGTGTTTTCTCTTCCTTTATTTACATCTCCAGGAAGAAAGAAAGTCTAATCACCACTCCCTGCTGTTCACCCTTTGGCTAGTTTTTCTAGTTAAAAGGAGGAAACAAAGCAGGCAGCTAAACTGCGATGGCGCTGGCGCAGGCAGTCATCTCACCTACCATCTCCTGAAGCTAGGGCTAAGCATTACTTCATCTAAACAGGCAGCCACACAGTGGGGCCGGCAGGAAGCATGGCGGGTAAGGTGCAGGACTCCCACACGCCCACTGCAGTTTGAGACCCGGATCTGGAGGCTTGCTTTCTCACTTTCCCTCTCTCTCCCTATCTCTCTCTGGTGAGTGCACATGCCTTATAGCAAATTAAAATAATAATAATTATTCTTTTTAAAGAGGGGTGGAAATCAGATTTAACCTTAGGCCATATACCAAAACCCAAGTTCTTTCATAACTGGACTATCTGCCTCCAGTCTGGTCCCAGTTCTTAGGTCTTTACTCCATTCTCTGTACAACCATTAAGCTTTTTTTTTTTTTTCCCAAAAACACAAATCTGATTTTGTCACCTCTGCTTTAACATCTTTGGAAGGCTCCCCAAGGCCAGTGGCCTTGGTTTTTGAACTTTAATAAGCCTATTCAGGACCAGCAGATAGTGTAATGGTTATGTCGCTGGACTCTCATGTAGTCAACCCTGGTTCTAGTCACACACCTGGTGGCTTAAAACTCACATTAGGTGTGTGTGCACCTAAGTGCCCAAAATTCCAAAAGGAGAGTAGAGAAAAAGAGATTGCAGCCTAGCCATTCCCCTTGGGGGGTGATTTCTTGCTTTCTGTCTCTCTGGCAGTGCATGCACCCTAGAGCAAAAGTCTCTCAAAATAAATAAATAAGCATATGAATGCTCAATGGGGGTGCCTATTTAAATTCAAATCCCAGGCCCCATCCTCAGAGATTCTGATTCAGCATAGTCTCCACACTTTGAAAAATAATGGCCCAAATGTTTAGGCCTAGTGACCAGGTGTATCAATCTGGCCCCGTTATCTTTTCATCCTTTTCTCTAACCACTCTTCTACTGGTGCCTTGTGCTGTAGCTCAGGGGTCACTAAATGACTACCCTTCTGGCAAGCCGAAGTACAGCCTGCAGCACGTTTTCGTAGCTACGCCCGCTCCATGCGTTCTGCCCATGGCTGCCTTCACAACGGCACAGTTGTCACTGCAACAGATACCACACCGCCTGCAACTGTTCACTGCCTGGCCGGCCACAGCAAGTTTGTCAATCCCTGCTCGAGCTGGACCAAAGTAATTCTCCTGTGCGGGATACTTTAGTGCAGGCTATTGCAACATTCCTGTTTTGGAGAGACTCCTAGTCTTCCTTCCCACTCTGTGAACCCATTTTTGACGTACTTAGACCGTTAGACACCAATTCTTAGTGCCCGGAAACCCTCTGCCTTTACTGCCCTCCTTTCTTACCTCACCACGTTAGAATTACTTTTCTGTTTATCTGCCTCACCCACTGAAATGTAAACTACCCGAGAACAGTTATGCCCTCTTATTCATCTTTGTACTTCTACTGCCCCACACAATGCTTGGTACATATTAGGTCCCCAACAAATGTTTGATGAATTACTGAATAAGCAAACAAACCTTTCTGAAGACCCAGAAGGCAAAACATTCTGAATACGGTTAAACCTAGATTTCAACTGCCACCTGTCGCAGTTTTAAGCTATCTGTAGATGTATCCATCTTAAAATGTCCATGTATCCTAGACAAGGGAGGAAAGGCAAACTAAAATCTACTGTCAGAGATTGGGTTAGGAGATGAGCCGGCTCTTCCGTCTTGTGGAAGATGTTGATGAAACAGAAGGACAGAAAAGGGGAAAGTGTCTGGCGATGTGGCACTGCCCGAGAAGGGTAGCTCCAACTGTACCAGAGGATGCTAAGGAGACAATAAGCACTTCAGAGCCTAAGGATAGGCCTGGGAATGTCAGAGATTTTTTGGCCAAGTTAAAGTTTTTGCAAGAACTAGCATTAATCATAACCACCAATAACAGAAGACCTTGGGGGAAGGGAGAAGGGTAAGGAATGGGTAAGAAAGCTCATTTCCATGTAATGATGTTTAGTGCAAGGTGGAAAAGAAGAATGGAGGGGAATAGGGCCCATACGAGCATACTGTGACCAAGGCTTGGTTCGTTCCCTTATTAGCCTCAAAGGGAACTCGATGCCCTACACTGTCAGGCTGGGCACTATAGTATTCCCAGCTTAGAGTCTACGGCAGGAACACTCTGGTTTAGGGTACTGCAATTTATTCATGTGTCCACTCAGTAAACATAAAAACCAAACATAAAATAAAAGAAGGGCTAGCAGGTGGCATGGAAGTTAAGGTGCTAGATGTCACATGGCCGACTGCATGGTTGAGTCCTGGACCTGGCAGCTTGACT